AAGTATGCCAAAAACTACAGGTGCAACAGTATCATGGTATTCATGTCTGTGCCACCAAGATTTTCCAAAAGAGTTAAATTTCTGAACATGTCCCAACTAAAATTTATATCAAAAGCTTTTTTCAGGGCAATCATAGTCATACTAAAGAGTATAAATAGAGAGAACCCCGCTCAAATTCCTATTCCTACACAAAACACAAGTCCTGCTGCAGTTAACAAATTACATTTATTATATAAGACCACGTAGTACCGACGCCCCCAGAAGGCTGTCCCTAGTAGTTTTTCAAAAGTTCTTTCATCGATTTATCATTTAACGTAAAATAACACCTTAGAACTAAAAAAAATATCACCTTCGACTTAAAAAAAAAATCCGTAGAAATCCGTAGATTTGAATAAGTCTACGGAATTGCATAGAAAAAAATCTGGCATCTCTGCCCTATGAGTTGACAGACGAGAATGGCAAGCATCTTGGCGTATTCTCAGCTGCAGACCTTCGTCCAGATGATTCGGATTCTCGCCAATGAGGGTAAACGATACCTAAAAGAGAATTCGAGTATTAGAATTATGAACATCGTACTACACACTCAAAAATTCTGAATTTTACTGGCGATGTAAACAACCATGCATGAAAACATTCATACATGTAAACTTCCTTTTCACGTAAACTAGCAGCTTGCAAGAAATGTTGCAAACGAAATTGGACAGTTGCATACAATATATGGAATATTGCATGACATGTCTCATAAATTTACACGATCTATAATCTAAACATGTATGATATATGACGCTCCATTTATGTGCATCATAGTAACGGAAATTTACACTACTTTTTTTTTAGCTGTGTAGAGTTTGAGAACTAGAAGTACCTTGTAAACAAGTGCAATTATGGGAGGGGGGGGGGGGTGAGAGGCATTCACGCTTACCACTACACCACTGGCGTCGCTAACGATAAGTTTTAATTATTATTCAGTTACAGATCGTTTAGTGTCCATGTTTGGAACCTTATCTCAAGTGGGATAGGAACTAAATATTGATTTCTAAAAATATAGTCTTCATTCTAGGATATTGAGTGTCACCTAATTTCAAATATTTGAAAACTGATTTGAAACATTGTTCATTTGGGAATTAAGTTTATGTGTTACTAATCTAGTGAATATTATTGAATGGAGCAACAACAATAATCGTGTAGTCCTACCTACGTCAATAATGCGGTTTTGCGCTGTACACAAACCCTATCTTTTTAATGACTTCGATAATGTCAATAACATAATATGGCACACATCTCTTAAAATTAGCAGAATCATAATATTGTAGTGTGATATTTATCTGTCAAGCTGTGTGGTTTTCTACAAAAATTACATTTTTAACGAAAGAGATGATTAAACTTTGAAATAAAAGAAGTTAGCTCAGAAAAGAGCCAATTGTATGCAAAATGGAGCTAAAAACCTTGATTTTAAATTAGCTGTCCTGGAATGAAAAATAACTTCCCCTCTGATATTTTTACATGAAAACATTCATCAAGGCACGTGAAGTTTCATCACGTCATTAGTTTAAAAAAAACTGGTTGCCCCAATTTGCAAATTATCCACCAGAATATCGTATGTTTTGAACACATAAGCGCTCTTAACATGTTGCATTTGTGAGGTAGCGTGTTGAAGTACTGTAGAAAGTTGCTTGTTTTGAATGAAAAAAAAACTCCTTGCAACATAGTATGCCAAGAAAAAATCAAATAAAAAAGTTATGGTTGAAAAAACGATTTGAAGGGACCTTCCTTAAAAAATACTTCATATCTCAATGAAAAAGACGATTTAAACCTTTAATGTTTTCGGCAAAGTTTGTGGAAATGGTAAGATCTACAACTTTGTGGAACATTTTATTCTTCTAAACCGCATAGAAAAAAGTTAGAAATTTTATTTTTTGTTCTAAGGGATTTAAATTATGGACGACCCCTTCATCAGATGCGCCTTTTTTCAAATCTAAACTTTTCTCAAGACACCAACTTGATTAAACTGCATCTTTATGCACTTTTTTAGTTTTTACCTGAAAAACACCCTCCTGGACCACTGCGTTGTTTACAAAAGCTGATAATTCCTTTCGAAAAATTAATCGAGATTTGTAGAACGCTGGATCGTTATCATTTACACAAGGAGGTTGATCCATTTCGGAGCGCTTGCACCATCGAAGCGACGGCGCTGCCAGCAGCCAGTGATCTCGTCGGGAACGACGCGCAAGGTACGAAGTGCAAAACTCGAACGCTGCGCGCTTGACAGGAACCGCGGCCTTCCTACTACTACTGCTACTGATGCTGCTACCTGTTCACCCGCAGTCCGAAGCTAAAATGAGTTGAGGCAGTAGTAGTAAAATTTACATTTATTTACTGTTTTTTAATGTTTCAACATTTGGTTGAAATATTTCAATTGGTTAGCCTTTGCCTCTTCCTCTTTGTTCTACACAGCAAAAAAATAATTTTGATATCACGTCAAAGTGGATGCACTACAATCATGTCGAAAATATGGTGTAATATTACTTGCTAAAAAGGACAAAATTATCATTAATACAATGCATGAACTGACATTACGCTGCTTTTACTGCATTTGTTTATTTATGTGGTCATAAAAATTACATGAAATTTTCGACATGATTGTAGTGCATCCACTTTGATGTGATATCAAAATTATTTGTTTGCTGTGTAGTTATTTGGTTATTCTAATGTGATGATTGCGTTTAGCGCTAATTTACAGGATACCCTTTTATGGGATTGTTTTCGTTATGAGTTGAGGCACAAAAGCAGCACTCTTTTATAACTTTTCAGATTCAAGCAGCACGATGTGCAACCGTACTTGATTATGACGACTGGGTTTGGGGAGAACGTTTATGCCATGGAAACAGTGATAAAATTATCATTTTTTATTTGTACTCAACAGTTTGGAAAAATGAAAAAGCAGTTATTGTAGCAGATTTTGAGAGCTATTTCCCATCGATTGGTTTATATGGATTTTAATTAAATCTATAAATGACAAAGTTATAAGCGTTCAAAACCTTGCACCTTTTCGTGATGGTGGCAGTTTTAGATTTTCAATTTACCCCCAGTACCTACCCGTAAGCCGTAGTTTACGTCTAAAAATCCTCAATTAGCTGAACGTTGTTTAAAATCTTATAAAATATTTGGATTGATACTTTTTTGTGCACGTTTTGGAGGAAAATAAACTGCTGCAAAAAATGTGAATTTGATAACCATTACAAAATTTAACCCAAACATGGTTGAATTCCCTACATTTGCAAGTTGAAATTTGCTCTGTGTCCGAGTCTGTGTCATACTCTACACCCAACCGGTGGATGTAAGATTCGCTTACAATTATGTGGGATTCATCATCAGAGGATGTAAGTGGAGACCGCATGAACCGAGGATGCGATATACCTAGCTGCGGTCCAATGCAAGAAAATTGGAGACCGAAAAATGTAGAGTGTATTAGTGAGGTAAATTTATTGTGTCGAAAAAAAAATAGGAATTTGGTTACCGACTGGACTCGAACCACGAACGTTGCGATTCTCAGACCTGTGCTTTCTCCACTGCTCTCTCCATTCTCCTGAATATGGATAGCCTAAAAGCAAATATGAAGCGCTCATTTTCTCGCATGCTCGACTTCGTATGCTTTTTCTGCTGGAGAGATTCGAGACAAGTGTGTGCGTCGTTCTACAATGTTCTACAATGTGCGTCGTTCTACAAGCTTACTGGTATAGTCGAAAGCGTAGATAGAACACGAAATGAAAAAGACAAAAAACCATTACGGAACTAACATTCATTGTAATAGAGGCATTCGAGGCAAGTGTGTGCGTCGTTCTACAATGTTCTACAACGTGCGTCGTTCTACAATCTTACTGGTATAGTCGAAAAATCCACGCTAACATGAAATAAAAAAAGACAAAAAACCATTACATCGCTTGCATGGTCAATTCCTAACATTCGTTGCGATGTTCATGAACAGAGGATGATAGGAAACGGAACTAACATTTATTGTAATAGATTTTTGGTTTGCGTGTACACTAACGGCTATTAATACATCACCACCACATTTCTTGTTGGATAACAATTTATCATGATCATCCCTAAGCACATTACAACGATCCCCGATAACTTTTTCATTATTAATACCAGCATATCAACTCGTTTCAGTTCTCAAAATCACTGGAAAGCTACATGCTGCTACTTGCTTATAAATTTCATGCACTTGGGAGGCACTTCTCATTCAATTAAAATTTTGGCAATAAACGACTATCTCTGTGAGTGTAACAGTGGGTCTGAGTCCAATTCACGGTTGAAGTCTGAGGTGTTAATGGAATCTCTGTGAATGTGAAAGTTAAAAACTTAAAATTCAGCACAGATTCGTAATTTTCTAAACTAGCTAGTATTCTAACCTTTTTCACCTGGTATTTCACTTTCGAAAGATGCTTTTAAACGAAAAATAGAAGAAATTTGAAATTCTGTTAGAAAAACATAATAAACCTTACAGATGTGAAAATTGACCGGTTTGTATGAAAATCTGCTAGAAAAGGTATCAGAAAATTCGGTAGTCTAGAAAATATTTTTAATTTTAAACCTTCAAAATTGTCAGCTATCAGAAACCCTTTCCATACTCCGCACTTCAATTATAGTTTCCGCATAATTAAAATGGTGGTGGCCTTTTGAGTGACGTTCATCTCCAGCGCAAACGTGAAAATGTGCACAGGCGGTGGATTAAAACAAAGAGATCTACTCATGCACGAAAGGGTGTAAGCTATTTACGACTGTGTCATCAGGTGAACAAGAGGAAACATCTTATTCAACGCTCGCTATCGATTGATGATGATGACGAATAATAAAAGCTACTGTTTGATACACATTCACACTTAAGTGAGATATGTCAACAGGGTGTGCAGCTCAATCCTTCATTAAGGAGTAGCTACTGGGAAGAAAGTACCGATGCGAGAATCTTCGATAATTTAGTATTCGATCGCGCTCTGAGCTAACGAGATGGATTCCTCCGATAGTTCCCGGATCATTGTACCTACCATTCCCAAGTGCCGTCAGCAGTTGATGCGTTGGGATGGTTGGGGATACAAGGATTCCCAGTTCGAGTACGACGGAAAGGATTGCTACTTCAGCGGCAGCCGATATACGATAGGGAACGGTGCTCGTTTGAATCGCTTTCGAGACTGGGTCATCGATTACTTCGATGTTGATGTTAGTAAGCGGCTGGCGCCGGTTGAGGAGCCTCGTGTATTTCCGGAACCGTTTAGGTGCATGGAATTCCTGGAGGGATTGAATAATTTGCGAGTGGAGTTCTCCGAAGATGGCATGGATCGGTTGATGAGATGTCATGGACAGACATTGGAGGATGTCGATTGCTTGAAAAACCAACGCTTTAAAAGACTGCCGGATTTGGTGGTTTGGCCGAGGTGTCACGACCAAGTAGTAAACATTGTAAAGTTGGCATTGGAGAACGACGTTGCATTGATGCCGGTTGGAGGAAACTCGGCTGTCTCTGGAGCGGCTACAACCCCGGACGTGCAGGGAAGAACACTGGCCGTAATGGATATGACACAAATGAACCGGTTATTGTGGCTGAATAAAGAGAACCTCACTGCCTGTTTCGAAGTGGGAATCGTCGGGCAGGATATCGAACGAGTACTCAGAAAAGAAGGCCTAACCGTAGGACACGAACCCGATTCGGTTGAGTTTTCTACCTTAGGAGGGTGGATCGCTACGCGAGCTTCCGGAATGAAGAAGAACACGTACGGCAACATCGAAGATTTGGTCATAAGGGTTAAGCTGGTCACCGGTATAGGGGTGCTAGAGAAACAATTCACTGCACCAAGGGTCTCGTGTGGTCCAGATTTTGACCAGATGATATTCGGATCGGAGGGTACTCTTGGAATCATCACCGAAGCGGTGGTAAGATTGCGACCCATTCCAGAGGTTAGTCGATGTGGTTCGTTGGTATTTGCGGACTTTGAAACCGGAGTGCGGTTTCTACGTGAAGTTGCCAGAAAACGACTTCAGCCGACAAGTATTCGATTGTTGGATAATCTCCAGTTCCAAATCGGGCAGTACGTACAACCAGACGGACCGTGGCATTCAGGGATTGTGAATGGTGTTAAGAAGCAGTACCTCACTAGGATCTGCGGATTCAAATTGGATCGAATAGCCGCTGTTACGCTGGTGTTTGAAGGTGACCAAAAAAGTGTCGAGTCTCACGAAAATCTAATCTACAATATTGCTGCCAGGTATGGCGCAATGAATGCAGGGGCTAACAATGGCAAAAAAGGCTACGTCATGACATTTGTGGTAGCATACATTCGGGTTAGTGTGATACAATACACGATAAATACAATCGATGTAAATTAACGGGTTTTTACAGGACTTCGGTTGGGATTTCAACATAATGGCAGATTCGTTCGAGACATCCGTTCCGTGGGACAGATGCTTGTCGCTATGCAACAATGTCAAATCGTGCGTGACGACAGAGTGCGAACGGCGAGGCATCCGCCGGCTGATGATCAGCTACCGGGTGACGCAAACTTACGATGATGGGTGTTGTGTTTACTTTTATATGGCCATCAAGCACCCCGACGACCGGATTGATCCGGTGGAGCTGTTCAAAGCGATAGAAGACCGTGCGCGGGATGAGATTTTGGCATCCGGTGGAACTCTGTCGCATCATCATGGTGTTGGAAAAATGCGTAGCAAATGGTACCCGGCTAGTGTTTCACAGGTAGGTGTCAGTGTGCTGAAAGCGGTGAAGAGGGCGCTGGACCCGAAGAATATTTTCGCTGCCGGGAATTTGGTGCTGGCTGAGGGGAAAGCTAAGTTATAGTTCGAAGGTTTGGGAAATAAATTACTTGCTGGAAGATGGTGAATTTTTATCATTTTAGTTAAAAATTGAGATAGCCATTTTGCTTCGATGCTACGAAGAACTAGTGGAATTTAATATAAGGCCTTGTTCCTCTCTATTTTAAGAATCAGATGAATTCTAAATCATGTGTGTTTGGAAGTCACATTATCATGTTACAATATGAGCCAAAGAATGAACCAAATCGAAATGCCCAAAAATGTGTGGGAAATTGGTCATTAGAGTTCGTTCAAATGATCATTAAACTAGATTTCTGTAAATAGAACAAAAAAATCCAATCGATAGAACTTCTCAAAATACACGAAAACTATTGGTTGATCATGGATGATCACCTAGGAGATACAGTGTATCGAAAGATTGAGCGTACAGTGGACCATTTTTTGAAACATTCTAGAGATATATTTTTTTATAATCTTGACTGGTAGGTAAACAGATGTTTATTGATTTATCGTTTTAGTTTTAAACTTTATTGGAATAACCTTATGAAGTTAGATTTATTTTAGTTAAACTCACGATGTTCAACTTTTTACCTAGTAAACGAATTTTACTAAAATTAGTGGAATATGAATGATCTTTATTCTGACTAAAATGGGCAAAATTTCAAAAAGTTCATAGTTCATTATATTTCAAGATATTAAGGTTTTTCAAGGAAACGGCGTTTTTCTCAAATAGCCCTTAAATAAACGCATCCAAATAAGGACAACACTGTACCAATATTTGATAAATTTATTATGGTTCAGCAGCCAGAAATTCAGAAACCTTGTATGCTAGTTTCTGTGAATACATGTCACCTACAATCAATTATTATATAACATCTACCGATTGGATGTTCACAAAACTTTGGAAAAAAAAATCAAGTTCGATGATTATTTGAATTGGCTCTTTGGTTATGTTGATTCCATATTGAGTATAGACATGTTTAATCAGGATTATACAATCACACATGCACGGCAGATAAGCCAATTTCGAATCATGTTTAAGCATGTCAAAACTTATTGTGGCACTAACATAACCAATAAATTAATTCAAATAATCATTTAACTTGATTTTTGCAAAGTTATATGGAGATCCAACAGGATGAACTTATGGAACTTTCGAATTTAATCAACGTGGATACACAGAAACGAGCCCAGGAAACATCTAAATGCATTTATCTCTTAGGTGATCATCGATAATGTTTGTGAATTTTGAGATCTTCTACCGATTGGATCTACATAAAACTTTGCATAAATTAAGTTTAAACAATTATTTGATCGAACTCTATGATGGTTTGGGTGCCACAATAATGTTTTACGTGCTAAGTCATGCTTCAAAATTGACCAATTTTCCATACATTTTTGTATGGCGTCCTTATCTTTATTTCCGAAGGAGAAAATCACGTTTCCACTTATTTCTCCTATGACATTGAGTAATTCTCGATTACTTATTCCAAGGGACGTATCAGCTTGTGTAATCAATGCATTTTATCGACGATTTGGTGCATATGGTAGCTGATCGACGATCATATACATTGTTTACAAAAACTGATACGTCTCTTTACTCAGGTTGCAGCTCGGTGCACTAATCTGCACCTCAAAACCCTTCTGCGTCAACTTGCTGACCGATACCAGACCACTGTCTAATGCTGGGTATATAGAACACATCCCTGAAAGTTATCTCTTTTACCTTGTCGTCACCATGGATGCATTTCACGATACCTTCGCCAATTCCGCAAGATTTCGTGACTGATCCGTCAGCCAGGACTACGTCGATTCGAACGCTTTCATACAGTTTGTAGAAGAAATTCCGATCGCTGGTCACATACAGTAGTAAAAGATATCTCGCACTTTCCGTATTTTCGGAAGACGAGCTCCAGAGATAACTTCACATTCAGGTCCCACAAATTTAACGAGAGTTTCACTTCTAAGCTTTCAGCCATGTTGTAGCGCGGTGTTAGTTTTATTATAGATTAGGGACTGATGCCTCTTCTGATAAGCCTCCGTGAGCCTCGACCTGCTCAAACAAGCCATTTTGAGGATGCATAACTGAAATAAGGGTTGCCACTGTTAAGACACCCCAAGTAACATTTCTGGTTTTATGAGGGTTCTGTATACAATGATTTTGACTTGTAGAATGCTTTAAAACCTCGATAAAACTAGAAATGTTGCTTGGGACATGAGCGTCCATTCACCGAAGAAGGAGGAAGAAGCCGCACCGCTACTGAGCGGATTCAGTAGCTGTCCGTGAGTCGCTGTGGACCATCGATGCCAAGTGCGTCACCTTCGTTCCAAATAACATACACCTCGCCAGCCTCATCTGTTTTGAACATCCTAATAGCTCAGCATTACTCAACCATCACGAAAAAACGAACCACGGCATGAAAGTGGTTAGATTTTTATCCAGAGATGATGGATTTTAATTCGGTAGGAAATTTATCTACGTTGTTCAATCACCGTGTGTGGTGAGTGGGCTGGTAAAGGTCATTTTCAATGAAAAATCTCACGCGATATTTACAGAGATACTTCTGTCACTATCATTGGATAAGAAAACGATGAAAAAGATTTTCTTTAAAATCTCATCGAATTTTTTGTCATGGCAGAATGTGACAGTGTTGTGATCATTCGTAATCTTAATAATATATTCACGATTACATACGGTTGTTTGCTTAAATTCATTTAAATCAGTAAGAAATGTTTATGTCAAAACCGCATAAGAATAATTCTCATGACTGCTTGATCATTGAAAAATTTTTCGTCTCGTGATAGTGAGAGGACCTGTTTTCTCATCGTCACATGACGGTCGTGATATTTACCAGCTCTGGTGGTGGTGTCCGGTCGTCATCAGCGGCAACAGTGCTTTCGGCGCGTGGCGTTGTACATTTTTCTCCAGTACATAACGAAAGGCTTCCCACAAGCAGCTAGCTATCAAGGCTGCCCTGAAGAGCCTCGATTCACCGAAGAAGCCGCACCGCTACTGAACGGATTAAGTTGCTCGTCGTGAGCCGCGGTGGGCCATCTGTTCCAAGCGCGTCACCCTCGTTCCAAACAACATACAGCTCACGAGCCTCATCCGTGTTTGACACCCCAATAGCTCAGCATTACTCCAACCATCACGACAGAACGGTTCTTTTCAGGACAACCATAAATTATTGTTGTTTAAGAGTTAATTTTCATTGAACGTTCGCTCGCCTTGCTGCCAGCCACATCTCCCCCAAAGCTCTTTGATAATGTATCCAGCAACCAAACGTTTGTGGTCAAATGCGTAGCGGTATTGAAGTGGTACATAACAGTTCTCGCAATGGCCGAATACCACATGATATTGTCTATTAACCAGAAACACTTCGAATTAAGGTAAGGTTTTCTCCAGGACGCTATAAAAAAGTAAAAAATCTCGAATTTATATGATTGCGTTTTGTGCACGAAATTCATAATTTTATCATCAGAAAATGAGGCTTTTCCGTGATGGGAAAAGTGATTTCCCTAACACAGTCGCCCAGCACGTAATCCTACGACAAATCTACGGTCGTGTCTTGGATACAACCTCTTACTTTTTTAAATATAAAAAAACGCGCTTCTTAGTCCACCTTGGTGTGAAATTCGCGATAACTTCTGCCGATTGGACTGCCGCAAAACTTTGCAAAAATCAAATTCAATAATTATGTTTTTGGTTATTGGTTATTTTGGTGCCCTAATAAGTATAGACTTGTTTAATCAGGATTGGAAAATAACCCATGTACGGATTAGTCAATTTGGAATCATATTTAAACATGTCTAATCATAGTGTGGCTCAAAATAACCAATAGCTTAGTTCAAATAATTATTGAACACGACTTTTGCTAAGTTGTATGAAGATCCAACCGACAGAACTTATAGAACATTCGAATTTAATCGACATGGATACACAAAAACTTGTTCGCAAAACGCCTAAATCTATGTATCTGTTATGTGATCATCGCTGATCATCCAATGATTTTTGTGATTTTTTAGAACTTCTAGCGATTGGATCTGCTTAAAACTTTTCAGAAATGAAGTTAAATGATTATTTGAACTAACTCTTTGGTTATTTTTTGGTGACATCAATAATTGTTGACATGCTAAATCATGTTTCGACAGTGACCAATTCCCCATACATTTTTGTATGGCGTTCTTATATTTATTTCGGAAGGAGAAAATCACAATTCCATTTATTTTTCCTGCGTAGGTACATGATGCAATTGGTTCCTTCTTAGGTTCATATTGTAGAATCATAATGTGGCTACCAAACGTACATGAAAATAAGGGAAGAAAGTGTTAAAGTGTCCTTATACTAGTGTATATTAGTGTATTGTGACCCTGTTCTCGAAAACGGGAACTGTGAAAAGTGGACCCTACACGATTGTTTTTATTGACAATAATCGTATTGTCAATACATTCTATATTGACGTCAATACATCGGTATTGACAATAATTCTGTATTCACATCATCAATATAATTGTCAATAATTCCCCTCCGCGTCAATATATTGATACGTGTGGGGTTCGCTAAACGACAACATTAAAGTAATTGTCAATACTTTGATAGGATTGTACAGCATGGAAATGGAAGGTGTTAGAAATAAGAATACAATTTTATTTAATGAGCCCTGTTCAAATAATGTCGTTAGACACTGTAACCACAAGTTTGCGAAAGCTATCAATCGCTAACAGAGAATGTTACATCGTAGTTAAGTTCTGAGGATGAAACTTTGTATAATTAAATCACTGGAAGACTAGTTCGGTTTAAGCTCGCTCTCGTGAGTTGTTCGGAAAGATATTTTTTGAGATAGTGTTCGCGCTCTTTCGTACGTGATTTGTCGCGCGTGTGTGTGTGCCCCGAAATGGGGAAGCATCGCTCGCGAAGCCCGGTGAAGGACCAGGACGCCGGTGAAGGAAGCTCCGGTGTGTCCACATCGAATAGGTTTGCTGTTCTTCCCATCGATGAGCATACCCAGCCAGCTGCAAAAGGAAAGCGCAGCAAGAAGAGGAAGAAGA